AAGTTTACAGATGCTTTCCAGACTAAAAAGAAGTCAATTCAGAAATAACGTAGTTATAAACTAAGTCAAAAATGTCATTCTCATCATTGTTTAAGTTGAAACATGAAACTAAATTTAAAATAAACTTGCTATAATTATAAACTTTTATAAGAATAGCGTTGGAAAGTTTGAATAGTTTTTTTTTATATCTTAAAAGCTGAATCTTGTTGTTGTTGTTGTTGTTGTTGTTAAGCTTAAGTTGTTATCATTGCAACCAAAAGACTTTTAAACCTCAGTGCATCAGAAAAGGTAAGGTTTGACTCACTAGAAGCTATATTGGCTTTCTTGTCACCTTGTAGAGTCTGCTCTACCCCACCCTTGTCTTGAGAAGGGTTGTAGTCACTACATAAAGGCTATGAAAGACTGAAAAGGGGGGTGCTAACGATGTGCGGGTGAATGGAAAAAAAAAGAAAGAAAGATGGAAAGGGTAGGGGAGTGCGCTATCAATGAAAGAATGAAAGATTCGTCTTTTCCAATCGCTTTCCGAAAAAGGGGAGAAATGATGGGGAAATGATCGACCGTTTCTCCTCTAAAATCTCTATCAAACAGCATATTTTCGCTATTTTCGTTTTACTCACAAAAGATGTGTATTGATGGAAACATTTTTCATTGCTCGGGCGATTTGCGGGGATGTTTCGAAATTGTTGAGAGTTGGGATTGGATTTGGAAAGCAATGGAAACCGTAAATGTACAGAACACTCACAGTATTGGGTATACTGTAGCTAGGGCACGAAGAAGAATTCTAAAGAGATCAACAAAATCTTTGGGATTTAGAATTGAATTTGGAAAAGGAAAGTCAATTGAAGGTTTAAAGCAATTCATCCAAACCAAATTTGAAGGTTATGCAAGATAAAAAAAGTGAGTTTCAATGCATCTAACTATTTGCTTGATGCTAGAAGGCTAATCTAATGGTAGTGGTGTTAAGGTATTGATACTGTAGCTGGAAACAGGTCTGTACTTTGTGCTCAATCCTGCAAGATACCACTCCAAGTCTTGCAACTTCTGTAGCAAGACTCTCTTGCAGTTTTCTTCGTAAACGCGTACTGTCTGGCGCAGCACTGAGAACCCGAATGTAAGGATTTGGTCTCTGCTTTCTGCGTAAAAAAAAAACACTTTGGTGCACTTGTAGCTCAAAGTTCCTTCAAGAGATTCATTAAAAGAATTCAAGTTTCAATTTGCACAATTACTGACTAGAAGTAACAAAACCAGTTCAAGGCCTGCAAGAAAATATGGAATTCAATAAATAAAAGCTAAATTGTGGTTCGTTAATGACAAAGTTCTTGTTACAGTGTATCTTAATCTCATGTCCCATTACCGTAGCTCAAAATAAACTATTCAGCAGACAATAATTCAATAATAATTCAATGAAAAACTTCAAATTATTTAAACGTTTATAAAAGGTTAAAAAAATTGAGTTTCAATTTATTTAAGTAGTAACTTCATTTCAGAGTGCTAATGTTTGTTGCGCTGGATTGAGTCATCTAACGTTGGGTACAGCTGCGTACTGTAGCTGCATCCTTTCACTGCTCCTATGGCGTACTTTGTGCCCAAATCTTGTAAACACCCCCTTTCTGGTGCACTCAACTCTTCTATTTTTCTCTCACAGCAACGATTTGGTGCTATGAGGGGAAAATTAAAGAATTGAGTTCGCCGGTGGGGGTGTGTTTACAAGATTTGAGCACAAAGTACACCTCGTCGAACAAATCAAGTGATAAATTGAGAAGGGATTCAAGTTTCAATTTGCTCAACTACTGCAAAAGTAATTGGAGCTTAGAAGCTTCAGATTTTACAGTAGGCAGTCATAGTACCAAAAAAAACAGGTATTGCGATTAATTTTTAACTGATTGGTCAAGAAGAAGTGACGCCAAAGAAGCGAAAAAGTAGGCGGGGCCTACCTAGGGATGATTCTTCTGTAGTCAAAAGATTCACCCCGTAGAAAAGCTATCAAAATTTCTCGGGAAAACAAGGCCGACTAATACACGAGCAAACATTGCCCAATCGTAATCATCGTCTCATTTTTCGTTGAGAAACTGAACAGTGATAGGAATCTTTGTAGAGTTTGTTCTTTAGATAAAACTTGAAACTCTAAAAAAAAAATTAGAAGAAAAGAAAAGGTTGTTGAATTAGTCGTTTCATTGCTACGTTGAATTTGATCCTTTTGAAACATCAGACCTTTAGTCATAGTGTTTTCAGCTCTGTACTGGCTCTGTACAGCTCTGTACAGCTCTGTACAGCTCTGTACAGTTTCAAATATAATCTTATATCCAAATCAAGTTTACAGATGCTTTGCAGACTAAAAAGAAGTCAATTCAGAAATAACGTAGTTATAAATTAAGTCAAAAATGTCATTCTAATTATTGTTTAAGTTGAAACATGCATTTTTTCCTTGCAGCTAAATTTAAACGGATTTTGTTTGCGTTATCCAATCCGTTTTCTAAAATGGTTATTTTTAAGAATCTGGGTTTTCTTGAAGACAGATTTTTAATGTTTCAAGTTTTCACTAATGAATCAACACTCGGAACATTAATCCATGGAATAAAAAAATTAGTAAAAAGTCTGTACCAATCTGCAGCCAAACTATCGTAATCCACCCGCCAGTTTTCGTTTCGATAAGCCAAATTTTTGTCTCATGAACTGAGCCTTGTCGAATTTGACCAAAATTGGGTAAAAAAATGAAATTAAACCTTGATAAAAAAAGATTATTTCCTCGCAAATGAAACTTGTTGCTCAATAAAACGGTTAATTATTTTATCACTTGAATTTACGAGTTTTTAAATCAACAATTGATTGACAGGCACTTGAAAAGCAAAAAAATGAAAAAAAACTAGTGCCAAAAAGCAATGTTGCACTATCAAAAAAGGGGAAAATGCAAAAACGAAAAACAATTGAAGTTTGTGACTAAAGCGAAACTCTGGAATTGAAAAAGGGCGAAGGAAAAGATTTACTCTGGAAATTTAACTGGAAACTTTAAAAGTTTATGAACTTTTATTTGTAAAAAACTTTTAAAGTTTTATTTAACGTTAAATTGAACTTTTAACTCTGGAAATTTCCATGAATCGATTTATCGATGTTTTTGCGCTCAATACCAGTGAGTAAATCTTATCCTTCGCCCTTTTTCATTTGAATTTGTGTTTTAAAGGCATTAGAGTTTTAAAGGAAAAATTTCATTTTGAAATCTAGAAACTATCGATATTGGAGTTTTCGGCCTCGGGCTTAAGCTGATTAACTTGAAACTTCGAAACTTTTGATCAAAGCTAGCAAACATAATTGAAGTTTGTGACTAGAGCGACAGATATATTGAGTTGTCAACCCATAGATTAAAGCCTTCAACCATAAGCTTAAGTTGAATATTTTGAAATTCAGAGAACTTTCAAAAAAAAGCACAGCAAAATATAGGAACTTTTATTTCTAATGTTTCAAAAATACCAAGAACAAATGTTTCGGGTGTTGATTAATTGCTGTAAACTTGAAACATGGAAAATTTTTCTTTCAGATTCTTAAACAAATCAATAATCATTTTTTTTTGCAAAATATAAACGTTAAAACAAAAATTGGTAAAAAAAGAGATCGTTAAAGTTGCCAGCTTTCACGCTAAACACTTTAAAACTTGCAAAAAATTAGGTCAAAAATCGAAAAAATGGGTTTCAGTTAAAAACGATCAAAATTCTTCAAAGATTGAAACGTTGATTTTTTTTTTTTGCAAGAGTACTACAATACGGGAATCTTTTCGCCTTTAGCTCAAACTTCTCAAGTTTCACAACAGAAAAAAAGGGGGAAAGAAAGAGAAAAATGATGTGAAAGATGTGTTGAGTTGTTTCAAAAAACAAAGAAATCCTCTTGGGACTTGTTCATTTTTGGTTTCGATCAAAAAAGAGTGTTCCAAAAGAGGATTTCAATGTTCAACTTTGTCAATACGACTTTGTTTTGATCTGTAAAAGAGTAATTTTTATTGATTTGATGCTATTGCCTCTCAAAATGTTTGTCAGAATCAAAATTTCAGATTCAAAATCTCTAAAAATCTCTCAAAAGCCGTCAAAAGCTGTCAAAAGATTTTATAAACTTTATGATTCGGAAATACTATTATAAAAGCTACGAGTTCAGCCTTGGCAGTGAATATTTTAAATTTTGAAAGCTAACATTGCTTTGTTATTCAAAAATATCTATAAACATTGAAAATAACTCAAAATCTTGACGAATCTCCTAAAAAAACCCGTAACTAGCCGTCAAAGTTGAAACTTAACAAAAATATCGTTTTATATAGTGGTAGAAAAGTCTCATTTTTATATTTTTGATAATCATTACTGCTAATCATTCCAAAAATTCAAAATATTCTCAATTTGAAAAGTAAAAAATACTTGAGGCATTGTCTCCTAAAAAACTCTTCCCTGACGCTCAAGATTGAAACTCAACAAAACTGAACAGCAAAAGCAAAAGTTCCTCAATCTTTGAGGCCATTATAGCCATCAAAAATTATAAACTATTTAAATCTAAAATATCAGAAATGAAAATTGATAATAATTCACTATTGTCTCTTCAAATAATCGCAACTGGCCGTCAAAGTTGAAACTTAGCAAAACGAGCAACAAGTTATTGAATTTTTGCCCTTTGATAACTACTTATCATACATTAGAATATCTACAACATGAAACTTATGCAATTCCCTTACTGGTGCAAACAAATTGTCTCTTAAAAAGCTCTCCACATGCTGTTGAAACCTTTTTTAACGCACTATTCAATTTTCGTACATTTTAAACTTTGAGTTACAAAAATGAGTTTCAATTTTTGATAGATACTGGTGAATGATTGAAAGCCCAGTCAATCCGTTAAATTGAAATTGTCAATTGAAAAACATTGGCAAAAATTTCCCATCGGCAATGTTCAAAGTATCTTAGAAATAGGTTTACAATTTTACCTCACAAAGTACACGATTAGGACAAGTTCTCACAAAAAAAATCACGAACCTTGTTGCGGCGGGTTTCTGGGTGGAATTGGCGGTGGAGGAGGTGGTGGGGGATGATCTTGTTGTTGATCTCGTTGTTGATCTCGCTGTTGATCTCGTTGCTGATTCCTCACCGGGCAATTCTCCTCATCTGACCCGTCTAAGCAATCGGATCGAGTGTCGCAAACTCTGCAACTCAAAAATTCGATAATTTTTTTGGATTCCAGCCAGATTACATTACTTTTTTGTTCTTTAAGATCACTTTATCTGAAAAATTGAGCTTTTTCTACGGTTACTGTATTTTGGAAATGTTTTAACCTTCTCTTATCAATACAGTCTCCCGTTCGACACATGAACTCGTGCTCGAGGCAACCAGCATCCTCATATTCGTCTCTCAAAGAGTCAGCCTCGTGTTCTCCGGAGAAGCGGACCTCTTTCTAAAGCGTGATTTTAATCAAGTAGCAAATAAACAATCATTGGCTCTTAAGAAGTTCACGACTGACAACTAAAGTTGAAACTTAATAAAGCTACACTAGCAATTGCCAATCTTTTTTGTTTTTCCTAATCGATTTCCTAAAAAGTGCCCTCTTTTCTCTTTCTACCGTAATCTTATCTCTATTTTCATCCAATCTATTCACATTCAATCTATTCATCTATTCACTATTCTATTCACTATTCAATCTATTCATCTATCCTTCGATATTCTTTGTAAACCCTCAAAGAATCAGACAAAAAGTGAATAGATTAGATGAAAATGGAAACAAGATCATGGTAGAAAAGGGAAAGGGAAACGTTTTAGGAAACGCATTTTTGGATTACGGTAATCCGAAGCTTACTGGTGGTTCTGGATGTGCTTTCCTTTTCGCCTCTTCTTCCATTCTTCTCCTTTCTTCATCTCGTCGTTCAGCGTCGTGTCGCTGCCGCTCTTCGTGTTGGCGACGACGGAGATCTGCAAAGGTTTTCGATTTTGTGACCATTTCAAACGAATATGATTAGTTTAGACATGCCTAGAAACGAATTAAGGTTAAGCTCAAAGTTTCTAAGCTTAAAGTTCTATAGTTTCAAAACAACAAACGAACCGTCTTCGATCCGGCGCTGCTCCTCGCGTCTTGAGTTCTCTTGTTCGCGTTGGGATTCCTGGAAAGACTTGCAATGTTTTCTGTACTCTTAAGAAAGAATTATTAATGCATAGTTGGACAAATTCTGCTTGAATTCGAATCCGTATCGATCAAAACTAAAATCCTTTCTTTCTTTAAACTAACTTTAAACTCTTTAAACGTCCAAAGCTTAAAACTTACGATTTCAAGACTTTCAATGATCGATTTCAGTTTTTTCCAAAAATTACTGTTCTTTGGCCAACTGAGAAATTTAAGGCACCATCGTTTTTAGCTACTTTGAAACTTCATTTTTTAAACTTTGAAAAGTTAGTTTTGCCAATTATCAATCTGTCTTTTCCAAAAATTACTGTTCTTTGATTCACAGACAAATGCATTCTTAACACTTTTTTTCTAACTTTACTTACAGAATCTCATCTTTTCTTGGCTTTGTTTTGATTTTGATTTCCAAAACTCACATTTTGTTCTCTCCTCCTCTCCTCGGTTTCCCTGCGTCTTTCCTCCTCTTCGCGGCGGCGGAGTTCTTGCTCGCGTTGCTGTAATAAAAGCCTAGTTTCAACTTAAAAGCCTAGTTTCAAATATTGTGATGTGAGTAAATTCGTAATGAGAGATATTCAACTGATAGGTTGTGTCTTGAGGTCTTTTTTGGCTCCCAAAAACTACCTGAAGCTCAGCGTCTTTCCCGTTGTTTTCTGGGACGGCATTCGGGTGTGATTGAGCCGTTTTTTGGTGAGCAGCCATCGCCGCTTTGTAGTAGTCTAAAAAAATCCCTGATACATTTAGCTATCATTGATTTAAGTTCTCCAGAATCTCTTATGGTTTTTTTCACTTTTAACTCTTGAATGTTTGGGTCATTTTGTAAGGAAAAAGAAATCTTGTTAAGCTTTGAATAGGTAGAAATTCTCATTTGTCTACCGAAATACATTTGGATGTAAAAGTTTTTAAAATAAATATCTACCGTAAATACTGTAATAGTACCCCACCCCCATAATGACGGTGCGAAGTGTTGCGTAGTCTAGCTTTGAACGAGTTTTTCTCGACACTGGTTTATGCTACAATGCGCACTTAGGTATCAAAAAATAGCTGAAATTCAGGGCTATTTTTTCATGCCAAGGACACATTTTTTGAAATTACGGGCGCTTTGAAAAAAGCTACTAAATGAAATACTAAAAAACTTTTGCGACTACGCGACTGTACGAGAGAGGTGGGGTACTATTACCGTATTTACAGTATTTAGGTATGTATTTAACTGAAAACAAATTTCTGACTATAGTTTGACTGATCTCTTTTGTCACGTTGGCACGGAAAAATCCCCGTTTTCTTCGTAAGATTAAAGAAAAGGAAGAAAGAAAGAAAAAATCCCAAAACCTATCTATTAGTCGGCAAAAGTCAATTTATTTTTTTGGGAAAATTCTTTAGGCTAAATGGTAGAGAAAACATGGCGTTTAGGGGTTTTCAGGCCTTTTCAACATGATTCAGAGTGTCTCGAAATGGAAAAAAATCGCGGAAATCGGCTTGTGACTCAAACTCAAGAAAATTCGGAATCGTCGCTAAAATTTGTATGTTTCAAATTTGGGGATCATCTGAATGTTTGCTGGAAGAGAGTTAAGAATTCGCAATGAAAATTCTTTCACACGTTTTTCGGGAGTGGGACAAATGCGACCTTTTTTTTGCGCACCTTGCCCATTAGCGCACCTTTTTTCGCGTTTTAAAAAAGCTCTAAAAAGCTAATATTAACCAATTTCTATTCCAAATGTTGTTTTTCTAGGTAATTTTAGGGCGTAGAATCGAAATTTTGACATATCAGAGCTTGTGGAACCAATTTGAAAGACAAAACGGCTAGATCAAATTACAGAAAATTGTCGATTTTTCTCTTTGTATAACTCCGTCCGTTTGTTTCCACGAGCTCTGATATGTCAAAATTTCGATTCTACGCCCTAAAATTACCTAGAAAAAGAACTTTTGGAATAGAAATTGGTTAATATTAGCTTTTTAGAGCTTTTTTAAAACGCGAAAAAAGGTGCGCTAATGGGCAAGGTGCGCAAAAAAAAGGTGCGCAAATGTCCGGGTGCGCAAAAAAAGGTATCATTTATCCCACCCTCCGTTTTTCATTATTTTCATCATTAAAGCATTTTAATAGCATTATTAAATAATATTCATAGATTTCAGTCGTAGATAAATAGCTGAAACTTTCATGTTTCAAATTAGTTAAATTGAAGAAATGCTGGAACGAATCAATGCTTTCTAGGTTGCCCATTTTGCCAATTTATCCAAAAGCTAACCGTTGAATGATTTTCATCAAATCAAACGATTTTTCTTTTCCAAATTGTGGAGATTGTAGAGGTTTTCAGGTTTTGAACGCTGTTATGGAACAATTATAACTAGATCACCAAAGGAAATACAAAATAATAGTAACCAGCATTTAGAAATAACAACTTTTTGCATGTGTTCAGGTTATAAAAAATTCCGTTTCCCGTTTCAAAGTCGATAATGACTTTTTTTACGAATTTGTATTAAAACATTTGCGACAAGACGGTTCACCGGTGCACCGAACGTCGGTTTAGCACTTTTTTTAGGCCGATTTGGCTGAAAATTTTGAGAATTCGAATTCCTATTCAAATCCGTTATTAGTTGTTAAAGAAAACTGTTCTATTTTTGGATATTTCATTCGGTTTAATTACCCAAGTTAATTACACCCAGGGTCATGTGCCACAAGGTTTACGATTACAAAAACGTGAACATTTTCATGTATAGCTGTCGTCCGAAACGGAGCCAAGCCAAAAATGACCAAAAATGAATGTGTTTAAAAAGCCCTGTTTCAAAGCACTCCCCTCGAAGAAATTCTCAAGCGGGTTAATGGCACGCCCTTTTTTCTTCGCTTGTACTTTCTTTTTTTAATTTTTTCCAAAATTTTAAACATAAATCAAATGAAAATCCCTTTCGAATCGACTCACCACACTCCGTCTCATCACTTCCGTCATTGCAATCGTATTTTCGGTTGCATTTTAGCGACTCGTCGATGCAATTCCCGTCACGACACTGGAAAATGGTTATAAAATGTATTAATTGACTTATTTTACAGTAATTAGCATAGTTTAGGGCAAAAGTTTCAGATTCAGAGTAATTTTTTTCTGACTCGAAGGGTTGAAGTTTCAAGTTTCAAAGTTATTTGGATAAGAGGTGACACGCGTGTTTTAATGTCAGTTTGACTTTCAAATTTTTTCAAATCTTGATTGTTTCTTAAAAGATAATTCTGGGAAACCAGCAAATGGTAACAATTATTGCCATCAATGATTAAATCATCACCACTTGCTCCAGTCCACTCAACTTTGAAACTTCAAAACGCACAATGAGAAATTTATTGAAAACAACTGCCTGGATGGCTGGGTAAGCCAAATTAGCCATTCTTTTACCTGGAACTGTCCATGATTGCAATTTCCGCGATGATCGGGCGGATTCGGTTGAGCCGTACGATCTTCTGGGCTTCCTGACTCGCAATTGCTCTAAAACCTCATGAGATTAGCTACAACGTTCGATATTTTCTTTGTTTACTCAAACATTTTAAAAGTTAAAGCTAGATTTAGATTTTAACATTAAACTTTCAAATGCTCTTTTTAAATGAGCTTGTGAAGGGTCGAAATTTGAAACAAAACTTTTGAAAGCACCAAATTTGGAAGATAAGTTTTGCCTTCTTTACTACTAATATGTACTATTTAAAGCCAATTTTAAAGGAGAGTAATGAGGCGAGCTCAGCTTTTTATGCCCTAACTTTGAAACTTTATTTTTTTTTTTTACCTCATCCGATCCATCGCCACAATCATCAACGCCATCGCAGAGCTTCTCGTAGTGGAAACATTTCGCTTCGACAAGGTAGGGACAACTAAAAATTCCAGTAATTTGTGTAATAAATCTTAAATTTCTAACTCAAAGAACATTAGCCAGCTATTCGATGAGAAATTTGTAACTTCGTTTTCGTTCCTTTCTTTAGACAAATTGCCAAAGTTTCAAGAGATTCAATTTCTTGTACTTTTGTGTTAAAATAATCGATGAAATTTGATAAATATTATAGCGTAAAATAAACTTTTAAATATGTAGACATTGTGCATTTTTTTGTTGTAATTTTTGCGCGGAATCTAGGTATCAAATTATTGATTAAATTGCTCAGCTCGAGGAACAAAAAAAAGGTTTGTTTCAAAATAGTCAACCAATTTCAGGTTGCTTTTCTCTAATGTCATTTCCTTTAAGATTTTCTCCAAGACATTCAATTGGTTATATCTTAAAATTTCAGCTTCTTTACTGTTGAATTTGGCTTAAAACCTTGGCTTTAGCTTGGCTTGACCTGGAAATTTGATTTATTGACAAGGTCCTTATCATGTTTTTTTGCAAATTTCCATTTAGAGTGATGAGAAATATTTTTTTAAACGTAACCACAATATTTCAAAGATTTTTGAGCCTTTTTTGACAATCTTACGAAATTGGAATCACTTGAAAGCCTCTGAAATCGCTTATTTTGAAACACTAAAAGAAAATATTTCAAAATGTTTCAAAAGACTCAACTCGTTGCTCTTATTTGGTCAACTAATTTAGAAACACTAAAACAAATTCAAAATGTTTCAAAAGACTCAGCTCTTTTGCACCAATTCAAATGCTAAATCTTTCAGTTTTTCATCAGCAGATCAGTATCAAATTTGCAAGTATTTAAATCCTCACCGGAATTCCTGATCGCTGCACTCCCGCTCAGCGTCGTAGTCGTTGTGTGCAGCTGAAGTTTTTGATTTCTTTTGATTTACAGTACACCAGAAAGGGTGCGTTTACAAAAAAAAATCAGCACTAGAAATGTAAATGGGAAGAGTAGGCTAAAATGAGTCAATTTCTAAACAACGAAGTGATGAAAGGTGATCCCAAAATGTAAAAATTTTAAACGCCTCATTCTCATAAATTTCTATGCAGTGTGGCAAGTCTAAAGGGCAGATGAGTCAAAAATTTGCAATAGCTCGTCTTTTCCAAGTCTTACGTTGACTTTTTGCTGCGGGTAGCCTTTGTGGTTCGTTGTGAATCGCATTGTTGTTGCCGGCTGTCTGCGAAGCGTGGTGAGCTTTCATCGCTGCCAAGAAGTAGTCTAGAATGGGGAAATTGAAAAAGGTTTTAGCTTTTGGATCAAATTTTAGACAAATTGAAATTGAAATTGATTTAGCTAATAAGGGAACCTTTCCAAGTTACCCGCGAGTTACAATATTGAAATGTAGGTGCCAAAAGAAAGGTGTTTTACCGATTAGCGGTTGTTGAAAACAGTTTCTGAACGTACACTTATTGTAACTCGCGGATAACTTGGGAAGGTTCCCTTGTTAGCTCCTCTTGTAAGTCTTTGAAAACATTCATTGCATTCAATTATAGTAATTCAAATTTTATTGATTGAATTTTTGCATTGTTAATTTTAAAAATTTTGAAACTAATATTAAACTTTTTATAACTTTTTAATAGATCTGATCTATTTCGATTTAAAACTCGTTGTTTTAAAGAATGCAATTCAAAGTAAAGCTCGGTCTTTTTTTAGTTAATCATCTTCATGTTTTACATTTTAATTTACGGAGTTTGAATGAAACGTTTGAACGTTTGAATGAACGTTTCAAATTTCATTGAAGCCTTAAATCAAATTGAAAACTTTGAACTCAAAACCTCGACGTACAGATTGAAGGCGAACATTTTGAAACGAAAAAAAACTACTCAAAATTGACCCAATTGGTTTAAATTAGACGCTAACTGTGAAGGTAGAAGCGCTAGTTAAATTTTTGAAAGAATCGAAAGAACGATGAACCAATCGTCAATCGTTGATGTGCAATTATGTATAGTATTTTGAAACATGATTTTTGAAAATTTGAAAATTGAAATTTTTTTTAATCAAATCAAAAAATCCCTCTCACCGCATTTCGTCTCGTCGGTGCCGTCACGGCAATCGTACTTTCGATCGCATTTTTTCTCGCCTAAAATAAACAGAATGGTAAAAGGAGTTGTGGGTTGGCTTGAATCTTCAAAACTTCAAGTCAATATTCATTGTTTTGTATCAATTTTGTACAAAATATACAAAAATCATACATGATTTATACCTTTACGAATTTGATTATCATTTTATGCTGAATAAAGTATATATATATGTTGTGTCCGATTTAGATTTCCGTCTGATTTAGATTACAGTCTATATCGGACGTCCGATTTAGATTCAATCTAAATCTTATATAGATTGAACAATAATATAAACATGCTTAATATATGTTCTTAAGCGTTTTCCGTAGTTTTCTGTAGTTTTCTGCATTTTTCAAAGGTCGGTTACTGTCTTTTTCTGAAAAGAAAACCCAGCTATGAAAGAATTTATTGCTGAAACAACTATGAAAACGCTTAAGAACATCTATTAAGCATGTTTATATCATTGTTCAATCTATATAAGATTTAGATTGCTCGGCGTCCGTTAGACTGTAATCTAAATCGGACGTCCGCGATAAGTTCAATCTAAATCGGACGGAAATCTAAATCGGACACAACATGCAATATATATAGCCCTTTACGAAATTCGGCCGTTAACGAATCATTTGTTAGCGGCTAGCCGTTAATAAATTTTCTTTTCCTTTTCAAAAACCCAATCAATTCTATATTTTATCTTAAACTAAGCAGTCTAAAATTATATATGCAAATTCTTGCATAACTTTTCTCTCAAAAGGAATCTATTTTACCTGGAATGCATTCCCCGTTGTCACATCGGAAATCCGACGGCGTCGAGCAGCCCTCTCCATCAACGGATCGCTTGTCAGTTTCTGAAAAATCGTTTTATTTCGAAATTTTTGAACTTAAAACTAGCAATCTAGTTTTAATTTTGTAGTTTTTTTAAAAATTTTAATACTTGAGTATGTAATTAGCGAAATAAAGGAAAGCCGAGGATTTGCTTGTTTTTAAACTTAGCTTTAACTCTTTTTAATTGATTTTTCAGTTTTATTGATTCTGTGTATAATCAAATCCGGTTTTGAAAGAAAATTTTCATTGATTTGAAAAATTGAATTCTCGTTTCATTTTCTTGCTTTCCTTGATTCTTGATGGCTCATCGAAAAGGAAAGAAGGAATCAAAAAAGAGGTGGAGAAGAAGAGAAAGAAGAAGAGAAAGAAGAAGAGAAAGAAGAAGAGAAAGAAGAAGAGAAAGAAGAAGAAGTAAAAAGAGAATGGGCAGGGATAAAGAGACAGGTCAGGGGTGACCTGAATCGCGAGGGATCGCCAGGCCCAAGCTCTCTTTTTTTCCCAGCCAGCCCTAACCCCTTTAAAGAGAAGGATCAAAGCTGGTGAAACCTGTAAAGCTATGAAAATCGAGCGGTTAATACGCCGATAATTCTAGAGTGTAAAACTCTAAAACGAATTCAGCCTTGTGTTCTCTTTTATTTTACAATCATTGTCTTTCTTTTTCAATAAGTTACTAGTTGCTTCTTTGAGATAAACTAGAAGGATAGAGCTATAGAATAGGGGGATAGAGAAGAGCCTGCAGAACCGGGAGAGAGGCGCAGATCAGCCAAGAAAAGAGGTCAGGGCTGGCTGAAGGGGGAAAAGAGAATACAAAAGGATAAAAGAATATCGGCAAAAGAGAGCCTGCCTGGGGTGAAACTCGTTCTCCTTCCCTTCCTCTTCCCTTCCCTTCCTGTTCCCTTCTCCTTCTCCTTCCGCAAAGCACAGCTTCGATTCGATTCAGGATTTCGAATCTTGCAGCTCCCGTTTCCCCAAAACCACACAAAATTCTTATCCTTAATCTTTTTTTCGGATTTCTAATGATTAGCGATTAATTTTGTTTTATCTCTTTGCAATTTTGTTAAAAAAAAAATCAAAAATTCAGCTAGTATTACTAATAATTTACTTTACTATTGATTACTAATTAATTACTAATTACAGCTAATAATTTGCTTTACTTTGAACTTTTTAAAAAATACTATAAGCTTCCAGTAAACCCAAGCATTTCCATTGACAATTTAAAGCTATTTACATTCAATTTACTGACTTAATTGACACAAAAAAAGTGATATCAAAAAAGTTCAGAAGTTTTTGTGTTCTTGTTTTGTTTTGTTTCCTCTTTTGTTTCCTTTTGTGGTCAAAAAGCTCATTTTTCGCTGCAAATCGATTTTCTCGAGAAGAAAATTCATGTTTCAAAGTTTTATCGATTAAATTTGACCAGGGGAAATTTAGTTCATGCAATTTTTTCCATAAGTTTTAAACTTTAGAACTAATTGGAATTCTTTGAAAATTCCTTGTTTCAAAGAACTCACTATGAATTTTTATTTCTTACAACTTTAATTTTTTCAAAATAAGATTTATTTTTCATTTTATTATATCTTTGAAATTTCCAGGTACTTAACCCTACAAAAAACATGGGGGCCACAAAAACGGAGACCCCGCTGAAAAAGGCGAATGAGGGTGAGGGAATCAAGGAGAACTTGGCCAATAAACGGCCACCAAGGCCTATTCTGTTCGAGTACCCGGCGCTGCCCGAGATCAAATTGTGTTTCCTGGTCATGCTGTCAGTGATGATCTATGCTTGGTGAGTTTTGGGCTTTTGCGGTTTCTAAAGCCTTGAGCTGACGTAGCCTAGCCTGGCCGAGCTCAAAGCAATTGACCAAATTGAAGCCAGGCCTGAATTCAGACCTTGGTTTAAATCTGTCTTCTTTTTAGACTACTGTTTCAGGCCTGACATTCACTAGTTAGTGTTCTCTTGCAATTAGTTAGCCTTTTTCCTAAATCGTGTCTCTTTTCTCTCTTTCTACCGTAATCTTTTCTCTATTTTTAACCCGGTTTTTTATATTTTTCAATATCCTTTGTGAATCCTCATAGAATCAAACAAAAAGTGAATATGGTCGATCAAAATGGGGACAAGATTACGGTAGAAAGGGGACAAGCTTTAGGAAACGGGTAATTTCAGGGTGTTAGTCAAGATTTCAACTTTGGTGCTCAGTTAACGTTTTTCAATCGGATACTTTAGTTTAAAAAAAATTGATTTTTCAAAATCAAGTTTCAAAATAATTGTGATCGAATTGATCAGTAAATTTAAAAAAAAACAAATAAAATAAGAGGTTGGCTGAAATTGAGAAAATTAGATTACAAAAATTCCAGGTACGGTGTCTACAAAGCTAGCGAAAATTTCACGTTCAAATGGGCTCATTGGGCACAGCCAAGCCAGTTGCCGCTTTTTGGGGAGCGTTTCAAAGTTTGTGTTTCAAAGTAAATAAATTTGAGGCTAAAATCGGATGACGAGCTGAAATTTCAAGCAAAAAACTGAAGTTAAAATTTGAATTCGCAAGTTTTACACACTAATGATTAGAGGTCAAGAATTTTGGGGGAAAAAGAATCGATTAGAATCTCGTGGCTAGGGTGTTTTCTAAAAGGCATCAACTTCAGTCAAAACTACCGTAAACCACCGCATTTTTCATTCAATTAGCTTGATTTTGGTCAAAAATTCGATGAAGAAATCACAAGGTTTTGTTAATGAGACGAAAATTGGGCTGATCGAATGAAAAATGGAATGAATGAAATCGAATGAATGAAAAATGGAGGCTGGATGACGGTAGTTTTGTTTAAAATGGGTGTTTTTTAGAAATCGGATGAGAAATGATGTTAGCGCTTGCTAAGAAAAATGATTGTTTCAACTTAAACAACCTCAGGTTGAAAATTTATAATCAAGTTGAAAATCTATATTAATTTTGGATTGTTATTTACTTTAAATTTCAATTTAAGAATTTAAGAATTTAGAGTTATTAGCGAATGAAAATTGAGAAAGGTTTTTTTTGCAAATTGAAGTTTTTAAGCACTTCATTCGTTGAATCAATAAAGTTTTCAAAATTAGCGAAATTTTTTGATGTTTCAAATTTCTCAGTTAACAAATCGCGATTGGTTTTTCAATGGGTCATGGGTCGAGCGTTTAATAAACAATGTTTTTCATTTTGATTTTCCGCCTTTAAAGTCATCGTTTCTTTTTTTAATAATCCAATTAAATCTCGAATTTCGAAAGATTTTCACTGAAATTTGTTGTGTTTCAAAATTTTTGACTTTAAACTTACAAAACCGCCGTTCAATTGTATCTAGTAAAATAAAAGGTTTCAAAAATAAAAATCAACGGTTAGTTAAAAGGGAACCTCGATTACGCAAATGACACAAATTCTCAGGAACTTCTAGGATTAAATGACTCAAATTCTCAGGATCAATCGAATTGGGAATGGTGGAAATGGTCACCGATAGCTTTCTCCTATTTGCCGATTTACTTCGGGCACTTTTTGGTGTTCAATTTGGGCACCAAATATTTGGAGGATCGACTTTTTGCACCATTATATACAGGTTTGCGAAAAGAAAAGGTCAAATTTTAAAGCAAAATACAAGAATGAACAATTTCTGGGTTTCAACTTTGACGGCTAATACTAGATTAGACATTGGGCAACGCCAAATCTCGCAATAAACCATGTTTCAAGATTCTTAAGTTTTCTTTATTAAGCTTACTCTCAACAATTGTTGTTCGTTTTCTTGTAAACCTCTCAAAAAAAGAATGTCATTAAAACGAGCAATAAATTAAACCAAAAAAAAATGCTCTTTGCCGACACAAAGTATTCGGTTTCAAATTGAACGACGAGTCGCGATCTAAAGCATTTCTAGTCACTCATCAACCATTTTTCGTTCAAATTTAAATTTAAACAATAAAAAGAAATATAGAAATATGTTGTTAAGTGAATTTGCAGCCCTCTCAATCCTCGCTTGTGCCTATCACTACTCACCGTGGCTCACATTTTGCTCGATTGCCCAGGGAACTTTCGTTTTCATTGCGACCAAGGTTTTCAAGTAAGTGAAGGGAAAATTGCTTACAAGCACTAATTTATTAAAATTCTTGTCACTAAACAGTTCTGAATTTTTAAATATTAATTTTTAATCACTCTTTCCTTTTGAGTGGAGGGCGGCTCCAAGTGTGTGTTCCTGACTGAGCTCTACTTATTAGCTAGCCCTTAAACCATTTCAACTCAGAAATCTTGAAACTTGCTTTCTAAAAATTGTAGTCACTAGAAATAAAAAGCTTATTTCAATATTCGGGCCTTGTTTGTATTGTTTAGGATTATTAATCAGTTCATCAAGATTGATAATTATGATTGTTCTTTAGCTCAAAATATCTAAAAAAGATGTTTCAACAAAAATGTTGAGGCTGGGAAAAAAAGCTTTGTTTCAAATTTACAAATTCTCTCCACCGGGGCTGAAAATTTATGTGAAGTATTGAAATTAAATAAAAATTGAAAAGTACTCTGCTTAAGAAATAGATAAAAGAGATCTTATTGAAAGCAATTTTGGTTCAAAAACTTTAAACAGCGACATTACAGACATCAAATTGCCGTTTGGACGTCGTCACTTCCGATCATGTACTTCTTGATGCATCACACGTTTGCATTGGGCGCCGATGTAAGTTCACATTAAAATGCTTCGTATTTTGTGCTTTAAACGCACCCTTTCTGGCGCACACAATTCTTTCATTGTGTTATAAAGGGAAATGGAAGGATTGAGTGCGCCAAAAAGGGTTTGTTTACGAGATTTGAGAGCACAAATTGTAAACAGCTTTGGAAAATTTTGCAATTGACCGTCAAAATTGAAACTCGAAACTTGAAAAGCCTAAAAAACCCGCGATATTAATCACAACAACCCATTTGCTAAAATTAACATTAAGAACTTTGAGACATGCCTTTTTTTAAGAAGTTTACTAATTTTGATCCTATTCTGCGCTGTACAGAGTATCAAAAGTAGTGCCCCAATTCGGCTACGGTGGGTTCAATAACTAGTAGAAAATCTTGATCAAAAAAACGGCTTTATTATTGCCAGGATTCTTTGAGAGAAAGCTGTTCTTTGCAGAAAACGCACTAATGCCTCAAAAGCAAACTTTGGGTTGAATAACTTGAATCTATGAAAAGAGAAATCTTTAGATCTTTCTCGTTCTACTCTTTGTCTCCTACACTCTGCTCTCATTTATTTCGTACAATTTGGAAACGATCAAAGGGCCAGTCAGGTGAGGAGTACTTTAGAAATATTTTGATAGTGAGCTGTATTCTTCAATTAAAGTTCACAGTTTCAAATTTGTTAAGTACAAAAATTGATATCGAACATTGATCATCCGAAACGAAGTTACGAGAAAATATTTCAGAAAAGAGGATGACACTTATTTCAAGGAGTATATACGGATGATGTTTTACGCGTTTTATCAACCCTATCTTGTATCGCTGATTGTTTTGTATCCGGATTTCGAGCGTCAGTATGCTGAGAGAAAAGAGCGGGTAAGGGGATAAGATGTTTGATTTATTAAAACAAGCTTCATTAATTCAAGATTGATCACTTTGAAACACACGAAATTGAAGGGGATTTCGAGCTAAGAGTAATGCCCCAGAAAGTGTGTGTTTCAAAAATTTTTGTGGGCACAAAGTACTGATTAAATGCCTATAGTACAATTGGTACAATTGAATGCCTATAGTACAATTGATAAACTCAAGTTTCAAAGTTTGAGTTGATCTAAAGGCATTAGTGAAAGGTTTAAAAAATAGGCAGCAAAAGCTCCACAAAAACCCAATTTAAAGCCAATTTCTCATCGATTTCGTTGCTTTATTGTTATGGATAAGAATGATGGATAAATTATTGAAATGAAACAACTTTATCACTTTTTAAATGTAGCTATTCAACTCTAAAATTTTGGAAATTTTGAAAGAGATCTCAAACAAGAAATTTTCCAAAAAAAACAAAAATTGGAAAAGTTTGACAAGTTGGAGGGGAAGATTTTATTGATTCATTGAAGTTTTCAACTTTCCTAAGTCAATATATTGAAACATCACTTTTTTAAAGCCAAAATTTGTTTGGCATTCTGACTGGGCACAGTTTTACAGTGGTAATACCTCAAGAAATATTGAATTTGAAAAAATTTTATCGAATTTAGGCCCGTGACTGGAAAGCGACTGGGTTCTTCGCGCTGCGGATCGCATTTTGGTGGGCGCTCATGGAGTTCTCGCTGCATTTCCTGTATCATGAGGCGATTTTGAAGGTGAGGAAATTCTTTTTTGATTTGTAAATTATCGACCTTCTGAATTATCTGAATAATTAGATTTCGGAAATGAGCAAAAAAAAAAGTTGCTTTCTTTGCAACATCAATTTCTTTGCAGGATCTCGAGTACGCGGGCTCGTTGAGCAAGGACAAATTCGTGTCACTCGGGATGGCGATGGGTGAGCGCAAAAGTTGAATTCAAACTTCAACAATTCAAATACAAGACAAGACTACAAACAAGACTACAAGAAAGACCTTAAGGAGTACTTTAAATTGAAGACTAGAGCTAGATAACTATGGTCTGTACTGTACTTGGATATCTTGAAAAAAGAAAATTCAAGCAAGAATTCAGTGGCAATTTCAATTCTTGAGATTATTCAAATTCAGGTTGAATCATTTCCTTTCTTAGCAGGATTGAAAGCCATTAAGCAATTAAGCCAAATGGATTATAAATCTATTAAAAATTTGATCAAAACCTTTTCAGGTATGTTCTTCCACTTGAAATACGTGGTGATTTTCGGGTTGCCGACGCTGATCGCCAAAATGGATAATATGCAACCGATGGACGGCCCGATTTGCATCGTTGGCGTCGTTTTGTACTCGAAAGTGAGTGGGAGGAAAGGATTTCGAATTTTAAATGAAGAAATGAGACCATTTAACCCAGACAAAGGAACTGGACTTTTTAGCTTGGTTTTGACTTTAAAAAAGATGAAACTTGGTTTTTGAAAATCAGAGATTATTTAATTTTTGATTGAAATCAGGATAATAAGTGGATTTTTCGAAAATTTAATATTTTTTTAAATGTTTAGAGAAGATATTTATCTGTGATTTTGTACCCGCCGGTTTTCAGAGTCGGCAAATCAAATGGCGGTTTTCATTTTATCAAGTCTATCAATTGTAACTCGGATTAGACCCCAATTGAAACATTTAGACTAAAAAAAGCCCAATTTCTAATTGGTAGACTTGATGGATTTGATGGATAAGTGAAAAGTATTCGTTTTTAGGTGTGGCGTGCCTTCGATCGTGGTCTCTATCAATTCTTCAAAATGTACATTTTCATCCCGATCTGCTATCCGACTTTCTCGTTACCGAGGAAAATTTTCGGGGTTTTCGTCTCGTTCGGCTTTGTGCTGTTGTGGCACGGATTCTATCATCACAATTATGTGAGTTTTATCGAGATTAAGAATTGTTTACAACAATTTCACTAAGCTTTAGCAGCTGACTTGATCAAACCAACTTTGCTTAGCCAAAAAGCTGAATTAACCTTTGGATTTCGGTTTTTAGCCATATAATTTTGAAACAAGAGATTCCCTAGCCAGTGTTTTTTCCGTAGTTTTGTTCTTTGCGTAATTTGTGCTCAAAAACCGTAAACACACTCCTTTTAGCGCACTAGATTGGTGATCAAGAAATCGTGATGAGTTTGAAATTTGAAGGTAATTGGAAAGGAGGGGAATTTGAAAAGGGTAGATCTGGTCATTTGTACATGGTACAGTAACAAGGAGATTTGGTCACCTTTTAGAATTGTACTCAACTGGAAAGTTCTGCAGCTCTAATTTGAGCGTTTACTTTTTAAAAAAATACAAAATTAGTGTTTAGAATTTTTGGAAATTGAAAATGATTAACGGAGCTTGATGGAAAAAAGGGTTATTTAACTTGAAACATAGTTTTTTAATTTTGAGCCATTTCGAACCTATTAAGCCATTATTTATAATTATATTGATAATTATAAATTTCTAATTTATAAAGTAAAAGTAGGATGGATCTACATGAGAAATTTGTAATGAAAGTCAAAAAACAAATCTTTAGCGTCACCGAGGCTCGGTCGAAGTATAGAAGTATTCCCGTTTACCTTTAACCTTTCCTTATTCTAATTCAATTTTTGTAGGCTCTCATCTCATCGGAATCATTTATTATTTCCTAAAATTGAAACTTTAAAGCGTAAATTTGCCTGGCTATTGTTTAGAAATGTTCTTTTTACAATGTTTACAATTTGTTTACAATTTTTAAGATTTTGGGAGACTGAAGAATTGACTAAGCTCTATGCAAAAACAAGTTGTTAAACTTGAAACTTGGTTTATTCAAGGAGCCATTCTCAAGCTTATTAAACTTTTAGAAGTAAAAATTTACAGGATTTGAAGCATTTATCCAGAAACTTTTTTTGAAATTTAGGTATGGATCGGCTTGAACATCGTCGCTTTATTTGTCGAGATGAGCAGCAAGGCTTTCTACTCGATCGAGGCGGTAAAAATGTGGCGCGAGAAGAACATTTCTGACGTCAATTTCAGGTGGGGTTTTTGGAAAATTAGCTCAAAAAGAAAGAAACCCAGCTAAATGATTCAAAAATGCTTTCATGTTTCAAAGCTTTGACGGTCAAATTGTTGAGTTTACTTGACTTGACAGATTCACGATTCACAATGCGAATTTAGACGTACAGTCGCGTAGTCGCTAACTCTTTTACTAATAATTTGATGTAAATTTAGTGAAAATGGAGCTATTACAGCTCATTTGATAGCCCTGAATCTCCTTTTGAAAACTAATAAAAAGTTATTGAGAACTTTCCATCTACAACCCACAAATGACCATTATTTTTGGTGTCAACTCATGTTTTTAATGACTTTATTATTTATTTCGCGGTAACTTTATAACTTTTATAACTCTAACTTCTCAATAACTTTTTATTAGTTTTCAAAAGGAGATTCAGGGCTATCAAATGAGCTATAATAGCTTCATTTTCACTCAATTTACATCAGATTGTTATTAAAAGAGTTAGCGACTACGCGACTGTACGTCTAAATTCGCATTCTCGTGAATATTTTAAATAAGCACTTCAAAAGTCAAGAAGTCTTATGTTAAAACTTTTGAAAAATTTTAAAAATTAAACTTCCGTTATCTAGGTGTAATTCTATGAAAATTTTTAAGTTTCAACTTATTTAAAGTAAAATTCTGGGCCAGGTGCCTAATGTAAGTTCAATCCATTGCTGCATAAGCTTAAAAAGTTCTAAAAATTTCTTAGGCGAACACTCGGCATCTTGCAAATTGTTCCCTATGCTTTCGGGCTCTACTCGAATTTCTATTTCCTTGGTGGATCGGAGGTGGGTTTTTCCTGTGTGGAAACAGCTTTTCTGAAGACTTAAAATGAAGAAAACACGATTATCGTATTATTTGCTTGGCCCCTTCTTTGACCTCGTTCAATTTGAAACATTGATTTTTAAAATGAAAACTTTAACTTTTATCTTCTGAATGTACTTTGTGCAAACACTCTCTTTCTAGCGCATTCAATTTTTCCATTTCTCTCCTCGTGACACCATTGCTGTGAGGGGGAAATAGAAGAGTTGAGTGTGCCAGAAAGGGTGGGTTTACAGGATCTGAGCGCAGACAACAATCACTTTCCCCGTAGCTGGCAAGTATTCAATGAAATTGAAACTTAAGACTTTCACACCTCAAAAAGCATTTAAACCAAATTTGCATTAATTTAAAGTTTTCAGCTTTTAGTAGCCAGCTTTTTTAGTAATGCCGATTAGCTTCTAAATCTTACAGTATCCAGATATTAGTAGGTATTTCAAAATCGACCAAGCGGTCGATTTTGGAAGAGTTTTAACCTAAACGACCTTTCAACCAAAGCCAGGCCACGGCTGTGTTTGAATCAGTGCACCAGAAGGGCTGTGTTTACAAGATTTCAAGCATAAAGTACACTTTCGCCAATACCCCGTAAACGCACCCCATCTAGCACACAAGTGAGCAGCTTGATGTCGGCGATGGATCATTAGAAATTGAAAAAGCTCAGTACACCAGAAGGGATATATTTATAATTTTGAGGACACAAAGTACACTTACAGTACTCAAAGAACATGAAACTTTAGGTTGGTGCCTTGTTCGTGAAGCGCATTTGGGACGAGGAGACGCTAACGCTTCAATATCCTTTCTTTTTGCTTATCTCTCTCGGGTGAGTTTTTTTTTTTTTGGATTTTTATAGTATCTTCTAATAGAGTTACTGTACTCATTTGAATAATTAAATTAGCATTAGCAAATTAGCAAATCTCAAAATTCAGATATTTCTATGTGCAAACGACAATCGAGGTCGATCGGTGGAAAGCGGTGAAAGCGAAAAAGGAGTGACAATGTTTTAAAGAGAATTGAAAACGATCAAAAATTTGTATCCAAAAATTTGAATAAATTTTTAACTTTGGTATAATTGAAAGAATTGAAATTGAAATTGAAATTGAAACAAAGGTTTAGATGTAAAAATCTTAAATCGCAAATAATAACTGAATTTAAGAATGCAAATATATCCACCTCTGCCATTGCCTTTATGCCCGGAAATTGAATTTGTAAAAATTTGAAACACAAAAAATTTCACCTGAAATTTCCCTTGAAAAATTGCTAAACTGTTTAGAATTCAAAAAATCTTCAGTTTTTTTTTCGAATCTGAATTCATTCTGAATTGAACCACGCTTTTGAAACTATTTTTGACTCTTTAATCATTCTTTATTCTTTATTTATTCCTTTGAAACTCGAGATTTTTCTGAATTTTACAGACTTATGCCGATGACAGACTCGTTTTGCAAATTTTTAAAGAAATTACATTTTTCTATTGTTATTTTTTTTACTATTTTTATTTCTACTGTTATTTTTATTCTGCTGCTGGAAAAATGGTTTTGAATATAGAAATGATACTGAACTCTTATTAGCCTCGGCACCTTATGCCGGTGAGTACTTTTCTTTTGAAAGTCAAAAGTTTTTCACCTGAAATTCATTTAAAAAGTTCTTTAACGATTAAAAATTATTCATTTTTCACTTTTTCCATAGGTTTATTTGCTTATTTTTAAACGCAAGCCGCAAGTCACAAAGATTACGAGGCCTTACCGCATTTTCTCTAATAGTAGTGCACCCAGCCGAGCCGAGTTGGTGACTATTTTACGGTTCCCAAGCTTTCGCAGAACCTCAACACTCAAATCCCCCACAAGATCTCATCATCAGCTATATTTTTCGACCCCACATCGATAGGTTCTGATAAGCGGTTCTCGAGATTTCAAGGAATTTAGGCGACACTACTATTTGGAGAAAATACGGTATCAGTTTTGAGCACAAAGTAAAACAAAAAGTATTAGAGAAAATACGATATGGCCTCGTAATCTTTGTGACTTGCGGCTTGCGTTTAAACCCGTGAGATGGGATTTGAATTACCGTTTTATCTCTAATAGTAGTGCACCTTGGGCCTCGTCTAAATTCCTTGAAATCTCGAGTACCCCTTATCAGAACCTATCGATGTGGGGTCGGAAAATGTAGCTGACGATGAGATCTTATGGGAGATTTGAGTGTTGAGCTTCTGCGAAAACTTAGAAACCGTAAAATAGTCACCAACTCGGCTTGCCGGGGTGCACTACTATTAGAGAGATTACGGTATCTATTTTTAAAGTGTTTTCCTTTGAAACTCGAAAGTTTTTGCGCAAAAAAACAAACAAAATTTAGCCGTTTTGTAGGTTTTCAAAGGAATTTCTTTGTTTTACTGATTATATTGGCCCCTCAAGCATTTTGGATAATTAAATGTTCATAAATTGACCCACAAATCTCTATTTGTCCGGTATCACTCCAAAAAAAAGCAACTTTTCAAAAGAAAATCTTAAGCAAATCGAAATCTTTCAAAAGTTTTGAAAAAGCTGAACGGTTAGTGAAATTCAGCAAATATTTGTGGCTTTTTGATGGAAGTGAATTGATTGGATAAATAGAAATTCGTGAAATAATCAATTGAGAGAATAAGATATTCAATGAAAGAAGGTACAGTAAGCTTGAAAAAGCGAGTGCTTTGTGCTCTAGAAAAAGCGTCGTTTCAAAATGAAGAGTTCAGAAAGAAGAGAGAGAAGAGTAATCATAACCCAATCACAGTTAGGATTATATTTTGTGTTTTCAAAAAGTTACATTTACATAAACAGTGAAAGACTTACTTCCGGTGCGGCAGCATAATCCATGGATGCATTCAGTGTCGGTTGGACACACCGTGTTCGCCCAGCAGTACGTTGAGCCATGCCTGGAAAGAGTTCTTAAGCTAATTGTAAAATCAAGTTTCAATTTTGCTTCACTAGTGGCTTCAATAGTGGCTTCAATAAGTTAAGTTTCAAATTTTACCCACTTTCTTCCTAAAGCCTAAAGTTAATTAAGAAAAATTAGGCCCAATAATATTAATTGTTGGCGTATTCGTACGTTGTACGTACGTTGAGCAGTACGTTAAGCCATGCCCGGAAAGAGCTAATTTGTATCTTAAGCTAATTTGTAAAATCAAGAATCAATAAAACATCAATTGTAAATCAATCAATCAATCAATTTTAAGTGGCTTCAATAAATTAAGTTTCAAATTTTGCCCGCTTTCTTCCTAAAGCCTAAAGTTAATAAGTCCAGATAAAAGGAAAATTAGAAAAGGCAGCCTCAATAATATTAATTTTTAGCGTATTCGCCCAGTAGTACGTTGAGCCATGCCTGGAAAGAGCTAATTTGTATCTTAAGCTAATTTGTAAAATCAAGAATCGATAAAACATCAATTGTAAATCAATCAATCAATTTTAGGCAAGCAATTTGATTTTTCAAAAAGTGAAGTTTCAAATTTTAGTCGCTTTCTTCAGGTTAATCAAAATCAAAAGCTTCAGGTTAATCAAAATAAACTAAGAAGAAGATTAGGAAAAGCAGCCTCAATAATATCTAACCATCACTTAATTGTTAGGCGAAATAAATGATACTAAACAAAATTCTGTAAACACTTCCTTTCTGGCGCACTAAAATCTTGGATTTCCTTGAAGGAATGGTAGCTGGGTTTAGCTGTTCAAATAGCCGTTCAAATTGACAAATTATCCTTGAAAAATTTTGCATGATTACTTTAAATTGAGGGTTTTCTTTTTTTTTTTTCACAAGTCCCTAGCTGTAATTTTTCTTTAACTCCAAGAAGTGCTCAAGAAATTTGCATACATAGCGGGATCTTTTCACCGTTTGTCAAGAGAATTCCTATTATCCATTGCGTAAACAAATCTTTCCCTAGAAAAAGACTCTTTCAGCTATTATTGGCCTTCTTTTCTTTCTTTTCGTTCCTTCTTCATTCAAAATTTCTTTTGATCCGCCTTAGAAGAGGTTTTCTAGAGTCTTCAAGGCTCGTGACTGAAAAGTGGAGGAAATTTTTGAAGACTTTTGCTCGTTGAAGGGATTAGCCTTGGCTAAAGGGTAAGATTATGGCCATTTCGATGTTTTTTTTGAGATCTTAGATCTTTTAGATAATACTTTAACGAGGCTACTTTTCGTTTGGCTTAGTTTAGGCTTAGTTTGGCTTTGTTTTGAGCGTTTGTGTTCACGTGTTTCTTCTATTCTGGGGTTATCACAACTGCTAAATCTATCTTCAATGAATGAATCAAGAATTTCATAATCAAATGTTCATTTTTAGAAAGTTTTACTTATTCTATTGCGTTTATTTCCTCAATTTAAGCATTTTAATAGAAAATGTTTCTTTTTAACTCACAAGCTGTACTCGGGAGCTGTTCCATCGGGACACGAGACGGTTGGACGAGAGGCGATCGATTTGGTGGCCGGCGCTTTCACAAGTTTAGTTTTCGAGCATCCCTGGAGATCCTTTTATAATACAAACTTGAAAAAAAAACAAACTAAAGTTAAAACTTATTTTAAATTTACAAAATTACTTCCTCGGCTATTAAGCAGCTTTTCAGAAGTTCAAAAGTTGAAAACTGATCGTCTATTTTAAGCTTTTTGCTTTTTAATCATCTAAACAAGAATAAATGCGTTTCCTTTAGGTAATTTTTCTAAAACTCACTCATTTTGAGGCAAACTACCGTAAACCAGCCGTCATCTATTTCGATCAGCTTAATTTTGGTCAAATTCAATGAAGGAATCACGAGGCTTAGTCAATGATACCAAAATTTGGCTGATCGAAAGGAAAACTGGCAGGTGGATTACGGTAGTTCGTCTAAAGGTTGTCTAATTCGTGCTTTTTAGAAAACGGAGTTAGCCGAAAGTTGGGAGCCTTGAAGTTGGCTTACTCTTAGCTTTTCTTTGAACAGTTTGTAGTTCAGTTTGTCTTTGAACAGCCACTTAACACGTTGTCCTAAGAGTCAAAATTATTATGTTTCAAATTAAACGATTATTTCTTAATTGAAAGGATTGAAAGGATTCAATATGCCCATGTTTTTAAATTAGAAAAAACAAATGAAAGCTTTTACAAGCATTATGATTTCCTATAAACCCAACCAATTCATCGGTTCCATCGGCACAATCCCTCCACCCATCGCATCGGCCACTAAGCGGCACGCAAACGTTATCCACAGCGCAACGAAGCTCTTTCCGCGAACAGATCACCGCTAAATATTGTGATTTTTGATTATTTTGCTATTTTTAAGCAAATATTCGGCTTAAAACACTAAAATTTCCGAATACATAAAGAAATTCGCATTTTTTGAATAGAAAAACGATCTTGAGACGACTGGGCTAGTCAAAAAGCTCCAAGATCTGCCCAACTTTGAAACGGTCTTTTTGAAAATTTGAAATATTTTAGTAAAATTTTGAGAATACAGATAAAGCTGGGGGAATTTATATTAATATTTTTATAAATAATAAAATCTCTAAGACCCAAAGAACTGGACTAACTGAGCGCCAAAGAGCTGAAGTTTCTTTCTTAAGTTAGGTTTGAGCTAAGATTGGTTTAAAAGCTTCAATCTTAATTTGCCCTAAGCTCACATTAAGCCAAAAAAACGTTAAGTTTTCAGCTAAATGAGGTAAAAAAACGTTAACGGGTGCAGGTAATGAGGGTGCAGGTATGAGGCGTTAACGGGTGCAGGTAAATGAGGCGCTCAAATTTAGAAGCGACTTTTAAACTGTTTTTCGAACTTTTTCAAATGTTTATAATATTGAAAATTTTCTTGCTTCGGTTGTTTTATCGGAATCATTTAAGAAAAGCATTACTTCTTCATTATTGCTTTATTTAACAGTCACATCTTATCACCTACTTTGAAACATGACATTAAACACTTGAAAGCTTCAAAATTTCTAAATAATTTGTAAAACAAATACGTTTCCTTGATTCAATCCAAAAACTTTCACCGAACCTCGTTCAGTTTGAAACTTATTCTAAACTAAGCATCTCTAAGCATGTCAGCTTTGGCTGTCAGCTTTGGATGTCAGCTTTGGATGTCAGCTTTGGCTGTCAGCTTTGGCTGTCAGCTTATTATAAACTAAGCATGTCAGCTTTGGTTTATTGAAACCGTACAAAAGTTTATGTTTCACTTTTTTTGACTACTTTGCAATTTAAATTAAATTTAAATTAAAAAAACAGAAAAATTAGCCTACTTTTAATTCTCTTTTTTCACGATTCTTTAAAGAGATTGTCGTTTTATTGAAAATTTGATTAATGACTCACTTGTGCAATTGTGCTCATCATCTCCATCGGGACACTGACGCTCACGATCGCAGAAGTGATGCACGGGGATGCAGTGACCGGATCTGAAAAATTGATACGATCTTCTTTAGCTAGAAAAGTATAGTTGAAATTTGAAAAAAGCGAGTTTCATGTTTAGCAAATATTCGCAAGCAAGTTGAAATTGAAAATTTTGACTTGCAAGTCAATGTAAGTCAAAATTTTCAATGGTTAAGTTTAAGTTTAACTTTAATTCACTCGTGCAATTGTTTGGTTCGTAGAACTGGTAAAACTTGATTATGTAAAGAGACTAGTTTCTAGTTTGTCGACTATTCGCAAAGAAAGAACAAGTGAATGGTAAAGGCTCACTTGCAAGCTCGTTCCCCATCGGGACATCCCTCTGTGTCGCTCGGCAAATGCTCATTCGATAGGGAGACGAAGAATCTAAAAGAAAATCAATATTACCGTGTATTTTCAGCTCAAAATCCCGTAAATCTACCCTTTCTGGCGCACTGAATTCTTCAATTTTCCTCACACAGCAACAATTTGGTGTTAAGAAGGGAAATAGAAGGATTGAGTGCGCCAGAAAGGAGATGTTTACAGATTTGAGAGAGAGTAAAGTACACCAAAAAGGAAAGCATTACCACTTATCGTTTGCTATCTTTAGATAGATCACATTCTGCACCGAACTTTTTGAATTTACTTTGAATTTACTTCACCTAAGCGCTAATTATATCATTTTGATAAGTCTTTTTCCGTCTTTTTTTCCGCTTATAATTCTCATTCATCGGATAAAAGAGTGTTTCAAAAAAAAAAGGGAAAAAGAATAAAATACCGTATTTCTTCGAATAGAAGACCGGGTAAAGAGTATGATCGCGTACTCCTCCGTAGAAGCCCTTTTTAAAATTTCTTTTCTGCATAAAAGCTTTCAATCAAGTGCTATAGAGCTGGAAAATGGCTCAAAAAGCTGTTAGCTCATGTCGTATTTTTGAGTCATTTTCCAGCCCTATAGCACTTCATTGAAAGCTTTTATGCAGAAAAGAAACTTTAAAAAGGGCTGCTACGCAGGAGTACGCGATGATACTCTTTACCCGGTCTTCTATTAGAAGAAATACGGTAAATGTTGATCACCAAGAAATATGCTGGGATATGGCTGAATAAGTCTAATTTTTGTTTTATTTTAAAAAAAACCCTTTAGAGCAAAATTGAATTGTAAAATTGAGAAACCAATTTCTATAATCAAATACTTTGAAACACTTTTTTTAGAATTTCTTTAGCTGAATCCTTTTTCCTAAAAGTCATCTAATCTGAGTCAAAAACTACCGTAATTTAGCCGCCATTTTAAATTTCCATTTTACATTCATATTGAGCTTATTCATTCAATACAATTGAGCTAATAATGAAATACGATTACCGTATTTACTCTATTAGTGGGGTCCTCTCTAATAGTGGGGTCGTCTGGAGGGGGGTTGAAAAAATAGTGGGGTCCTCTCTAATATTGGTAACGAAAGTGATACATCAATTGTTGATCTCTTGGATTAGTTCTTTTACTGTTTGTTAATGTTTTGTTACGGTTAAAGCTAAATAAAATATGAAGCCAAACTTGTTTTGTCAAGAATTTCGGAGAAAAATTGATATCTTTTCAATTTAAAACTTTGGTTTTATGTTCTTTTAAATTTCTCTAATAGTGGGGTCCTCTCTAATAGTAAGGTCGTCTGGAAGGGGATTAAAAAAATAGTGGGGGACCCCACTAATAGAGTAAATACGGTAGCTCAATTTTGAGTAAATTCGATGAAGCGAGGCTTCATCGAATTTACGAATTTATCGAAAGGCCCCAAGGCTCAGTGAATGATACAAAATTGAGCTAATCGAATGCGAAATGACGACCAGATTACGGTATTTTCTCCGAAGTTTGTGTCTTTTAGAAAGCTGGATCTTGTAATTTGAAAACGAATTGTATTCTCCTCACTTTTCCTCTTTTCCCATTCCCTCGACCGTCAAAATGTACTCTCCTTCGTCTTTGTCATTCGCGTGCTCAATATGTAAAGAGTACTCGTCGTGGTGGCTGAAAATGTGATTTCTCTAAAGAATTCTTCTAAATTTTACAAAGAAGTTGTTAAAGCAATCTTAAAATTTAAAAAAAAAACTATTTCTCCTTGATTTGCAAATGCAAGTTTCAAATTAACGTTTCTTTTGCAGATTTGGAAAAGCTCAATTGAAGCTTCAAAAGCAAATAAATAAAATAAATAAAATTTTCATTTCGATGCTGAAAATTGCAATTCTTAAAGTAAAAAATGTAAAAATTTCTAAATTTAGAAAGAAAATCTTTTTTGACTGAATGAAAAATCGAGTTTCACTTTTTGGACCTTTCCAGTCCAAAAAAAAAGCCAGTTCCAATACGGTTAACTTTAAAATTTTTAACTTTTCTTTGTAAAAATCAATTCTGAAAAAGATTTCATAGTTTTCATAGGTTAATCTATTAAAATGTCTTTTAGAAATTTAGAAAATTCAAATAGAAAGTGAAATGCTCGTAAAAAATGGTAAATAAATAAGAAAATGGTAAATAAATAAGAAAATAGTAAATAAATCAGAAAATTGTTGTTTATTTAGGGTTTTTATGTTGTAAAATGGGTCAAATTTGATAACAAAATAGAGATTTAAAAGAAAAAACACTTTAATTCTTAAAATAAAATAGAGAAAAGAATAAACTTGCAAGCTATTTGAAAATTTCTTCAAAAAAAAAGTTCAAGTTTCATTTTTTGGGTTTTTGAAAAGCTAAGACCAATCTAATTAATCGTTTTTTTAAAAAAATTCAAATCTAATCAATTTTAGAAACTTGTTAATATACATAGTCAATGTTTTTGAATGTTTTTTTTAAAAGCTTTTGTTCAAACTCACTTGTAAACGTGGATTCTCGTGTCATCAGTCATTGTCAGCGATCCTTGACCAAGAATTAGCCCATTTCGTGACCAAATCACCTGGAATTGGGGGTAATTTGAAAATTTCACGAAAATCAATAATGATTCAAAAGTTCTAAGACATATTTTTGTTCTCCAACAAGGCGGAACTAATCTTTAGCAATCTAGGTACCGTAGCAATACTCTAATCGAACGCCATCCCCATAATGACGAGCGTACAATCGCGTAGTCTAACTTTGAACGTCCTGTTCTCCGTGCTGCTTTATGCTATAGTGTGCGCTTGAATGTCAAATGATAGCTCTTGATATCTAGTATATTTTGATACCAAAAGTGTAGTTGGAAAAAAAATTCAGAGGCTGAGGAAAAGGTGATTTTCTAACGCAACCCCTCTGAAAAAGATGATTTTCTGAAAAAGAAGTTAGACTACGCGACTGTACGAGGGGTGGCTTTTGAATTTGAAAATTTCGTTAAAATCGATACAAATACTTTAACTAGAATGATTTCAGAGAAAATGAAGACCAAGAGCTACACTTCGAGAACGAACTTCAATTTTGTTCATTTTGAAACACAAAGTTTTAAATCATTGAAAACTTCAAAAATTCCTTGATAGGCTTTTATTGGCTTTAGAGATTTAAAGAATCGCTAAAATCTAGTTAAACATGGGAATTTTGAACTATTAGTATATGAGAAAAGTTTATTTCCAACATTTTTAAGATATATTTTTGATTGCAAACAATGAGGAACTAAACTTTAGCAATCTATGTATTGTAAATACTCAAATAGAACGCTATCATTTCAAAAATAAACGGAAAAAGTCGAGCTTAGGAAGGAATAAATGTAAACCATTACATAGAGCTGGCTGTTTTTATAATGCCCAAAAGAGAAACACTCATTTTTAAATCAAAGAATTCATTGATTTTGGGAAATTTTGTGTAGAAAGTTTTCATATAGAATTTTGAAATGTTTAATTTACAGCTTTAAATCCCATTCCACTTACCTGATGATCACTTGGCAGCATGTCGATGATGGCCGAGAGAACGATCTCTCCACTTCGTCTCACTGTCACGTGTTTCTCTTTTTGGAAGATCACGGCAGAGTGACGGTTGCAGTGAGCTGAAAAAAGGGTTTGATGTGTGCTAGATCGTACACTCTCTCTAAAGTATCGTACACGTACTTTGTGCTAGATCGTACATTCTCTCTAGTACACTAGTACACTAAATTGTACTTTCTGCTCATCCACATTAGTTTAGCCTACGTCGTTGACTCATTGTTTAGGTTGAAACTGGGCTTTTTAGGCTTAATTTTTACCGAAAACTTGTAAACATATCCTTTCTGGCGCACTGAAATCTGACGTACTTCATTTTTTCATTAAATCATTGCTAGTTCTTTATCGTAAATTTAAAAGTTAATGTTTTAATTGGGATTTAGAGTTAGATAGAGTTAGTTAGATTAAAGTTAGATAAGTTAAATTACTTTTATCAATGGTTTTTATTGTTTTGTTATAGTTTTTCTATCTTTTTATAGTTTATAGTGGAGAAAAAAAGTGATTTTAGGTCATTTTCAAGTGATGATTTTCAAAGCGTTGTTTCGATTGTTTTATTCTTTTTGGCCTATTCTAAAGCTATAAGCATACTCAATTTTTTCTTAAAATATACTTAATGAACTCTACTAGACATTTTTAAACGTTTCAAAACGAAACGCAACATAAATATTTAATGTTTAGGCTGAAAACATATGCATTAAAGCTTGATAAGAACTCAGTTCTTCATGATTTTATTCTTTTTTCACTTCTTTATTCAATCTAGGTTAAGCAAAGTATAATTACTATTTTAGTAGAATTAGAAACAAAATAAACATGCTTATATTGGGTTGGGGAGAATGAGTCGGCGCCGAAAATCAAAGAAATTTCTAAAACTTATAGCAGACTTTGTCAAATGATATGCGTTTGATATCCGTAGAAGGGTAACTAATTCTCTACAAAATAATATTTAAAAGAGAACTCAAACAGCGCCTCAACTCAACAAAGGATCATTTTTTCACAAAATCGATAAACTGTCATCTAGAGTAAACGGTTGGAGGGATCTTCCTGAAAATTTGGTAACTTATGTAATTGAGTGTGCTCTATCTTTTTTATATAAACACCAAAGGAGGTTTATGTGGAAGAAACTGTTCAAGCAATGAGTCGCACTTTTTGTCATTTTGATTAGCTGTGTTTGCGAATCCATAAAATCCCAAAAAAGAAAAGCTTTGTGGAATCTCTCAAAAGCCATTTTGTAAAGAAATAGTGGACCATTTTGATGAAACAAAACGTGTATTTAAAGAAGGTTTTATGGGTGCAAAAAGTTTCTTTAAATTTCGGCGCCGACTCATTCTCCCCAACCCAATAGAACTGTCGAACAATCAAGATACTCAATTTTACAAATTACCATTAGAATTTAATTCATTTTGATATCAATATTAAAGTTTCCAAAATCTACCGTTATCCAAGAAAATTTTAAAGAATTGAGTGCACCAGAAAGTGATGTTTACACTTTTCGAGAGCACAAAATGCAGCAACAAGATTTTCGTGTCGCTCTAACAATGAAGGGTCGATTCAAATTCCCCTACCGTGTATCGATCGTTCATCCGAATGATCCGGGCAATCGGGTCGAGCGTCGCATCGTCTGGAAATTTGATTTGTTTCTAAATATCTTGAATCAAATGGTAAATTCGAAATTTAGTGATTGCAGAATTGGTTAAAAAAGTTTTGTGCTTAAAATCACTCTTTTTACCAAGTTATCGTTAAAAGTTCAATGAAATGAGCTTTTCAGAAAGTAATGTTTCAACTTATACGCCTTGAAAGCGATGGTAATAATGCAATAACAATGTTGTTTTCAAATCTCGTAAACATTCCCTTTCTGGCGCACTTAATTCCTCCATTTCCCCTCACACCAAAGGGAAACGAAAGAATTGTGTGCGCCAGAAAGGGGATGTTTACAAGCTTTGTGAACACAACATACACTAAGCAACATCTGGAATTTTGGCTCGTCTGGGCAGGGAATAAAGGAAGTTTCAAATTTGGACGAAATAAACCCTTAAAAAGTTCATCAATCATATGATAAAACCATCTCAAATTAGACAAGCCAAAATCCTTTTTTTCTTTATGAAATCAACTTTCTGCTGTTCACAAACTTTTTCGCATCGATACACGTCCCGTCAGCGCACGCGAACTCTTCGGGGTTGCACGTAGAATTGGCAGCTGAAACGGGGGAAATTTGAGTCAAGCCATCGATCTTTTTTCATTGGAATTCATTGGAATTCATTGAAATTTCATTGGATTACTGTAGCCACCGTATTTTAGGATATTTAAGCATGCAATTTGAATTAGAAAATGAAAAAAATAGTAAAGAACATTTTAAAACACTAAACAAAGTCAAAATGAGCTTTCAAGTGAACTAAAATAGGAATTGAAAGATTTGAAAACACTGAAAAGCTATAAATTAATTCAAAATTCAATACTTCGCGTATTTTTCGTGAAATTTGAAAGCTTTAAAGCATTCAGAATGGCTATTTTTGTGTTGTGTTAATACTCAAAGTGTTAATACTCAACGATTTGTAATTCAAAGTTTAACTCGGACACTGGCTTCGTTGAAATTCGCTTTTTTTCTATGAATTTACACTCATTTTATAGTTTTAAATTTTAAAAAAATCGATTAAATCATCGATTTTTCTTGCCGATCCCCGATTTTAAAAGTTGAAAAGGTCCCGAAAATTTTTTCTTTAACGTTTTTCTCTTCGATTACAATCCGATTTGCGACGGGCGTTTATTTGTGTCCGGAGTGGTAAAGAAAAATTTGTGGGGGGAAAGGGGGGAAGGGGGTTTCAATGATTTTTGGAGACGATACGGAAAGTTTTGGTTGAAAAATGCGATGGGAAACAAGCAATTGATGCGAGCAATTGAATTAAAGACTTTGTCGGCTTTAACAAAGGCTATTGGGGAGGCTTTACCGTGAGATGGGATTTGAATTACCGTTTTATCTCTAATAGTTGTGCACCCAAAGCTTCGCCTAAATGGTTCGAAATCTCGAGAACCACTTATCAGAACCTATCGATGTGGGGTCGGAAAATGTAGCTGACGATGAGATCTTGTGGGGGATTTGAGTGTTGAGCTTCTGCGAAAGCTTGGGAACCGTAAAATAGTCATCAACTCGGCTCGGCTGGGTGCACTACTATTAGAGAAAATAAGGTACCTATTTTTAAAGTGTTTTCCTTTGAAACTCGAAAGTTTTTGCGCAAAAAAACAAACAAAATTTAGCCGTTTTGTAGGTTTAAACGTTTAAACGCAAGCCGCAAGTCACAAAGATTACGAGGCCATACTGTATTTTCTCTAATAGTCATGCACCCTGAGCGTCGCCTAAATTCCTCGAAATCTCGAGAAGCGCTTATCAGAACCTATCGATGTGGGGTCGGAAAATGTAGCTGACGATGAGATCTTGTGGGGGATTTCAGTGTTGAGCTTCGGTGAAAGCTTGGGAACTGTAAAATAGTCATCAACTCGGCTTGACGGGGTATGGTATCAGAGAGAGAATACGGTATTTAATAGCTTCCAGATGATAGCCTTGTATCAAGAGTAAAATGCACAGATAACTATCGATATTTGATATAAAACGATATAAATTGAATACTTATATCAAACAAATAAACGAGTACAAACGAGAATACGGTATGCGAGGCGCAATCTTATTTAGAGTCAAAAAAAGCTTAAAACTTGACAAGTGAATCAATGATTTTCGAGAATATTTTGAGAAAACTTATCTCGAAAAGTCTCAAGGGTTTTTGATTTGAAAAGATTCGAAAAAAAAGACTTTTCTTTTTCTTTACAAGTTAGTTTGACTCTTTTGACAAAATTTGAAAACTTTTGTCCACAAAAGATAGAATATATTTATTTTAAAGCGAACAAATCCTCAGATCAAATTCGTTTACCCATTTTTCGTTGAAAATTTTTGAAAAATAAGGATTCTGCTTGAATTGACTCAAAGGAACTATAGAGGAACTATAAAGGATCTATAAAGGAACTACAAAGGCACTGAATAGGAACTATAAAGAAATTAATAGGAACTATAAAGGAACTATAAAGGAACTATATTGAATTGACTCAAAGAAAGTGCCTTCAATTCAATGAATTTCAATTAAAACTTAATAATTCTAAATAAAGATCAACGATTTGACTAGGATTGAAATAATAATTTCAAAATTTCATTTCAAAATACAAATTTGAGGGGAATGGGCATTACCTTTGCCATCAAATATTCGTTAAAAAGAAGTTTTTTGTGATCTAAAGATACGTTAAAGACCTAAAGATAGATACAAAATTCAAATTTTAAAATTTGAATTTTGTACAGTTTTACAAAAAAAAACACAACTACACTACAAGCGGGGAAATTTACTCGAGTTCAATTGATAAACTTTGAAACATCAAGTTTTTTTTTGCAATCTAGATCATTTTTGGCAGTTCTTAGCTAAATTTGTAAAATTTTGAGCATTTGAATAATTTTTGCAGGATTAAGCACTGCTCAACATGAGGCTGAGTTTTTGGAAACTAGAATTAGCACTAGAATTTCAATTACATTAGAATTTTGCACAAGTATCAATTACGAAGAGCTAGCTATTTATCTCTTGCGTTTGGGGTTGATCATTTTGAAAGAATTAGAGAGAAAAACAGAACCTAATTGAAAGTGGTCAACAAAATTTGTAAAATAGTCGAAAAATTTGACTTCTTTAGATGGAAAATGGCTTGTTGACTTTGCAAAAAAAAAAAAAAAACAAAAAGAAACAAATTTTTGCACTAATTAAGGAAGTTTTTATGGTTTTTTTGAATGAATTGAAAGATCTTTTGAAAGATTTGTGAGATTAAAGAAACAAACAAACAAAAATAAAAGATCAAACTTCGAAACCAATAGCTAAACAATTGATTTAATGTCAAATAGTTTGAAAAATTCGAAAATTTCTTTGATGTGACAAAGCGAAAAGCGCTGTGGGCAAAAATTTTCATATTAAAAGTTTGATCTGATCAAAAAAGCAACTTTCTGAATCACTTATTCGATGTTGAAAGCTTTGTAAAATTTCAATTATAAAAACAATTTCAATTATGCAAATATTTCAAAGACAAATCATCAAAAAAGCTAGAAAAGCAAATCCGATTTTAAGGCAACTCGGGGACTTTGGAAAAACCGGCATTGTTGACGATTCTCGACCGAATAACACAGTTTTATTTGAAAATGTTTTTTACTACCACGAAGTCATTTTTAACAGTTAAAGCCCCAAAAATGGGTAATTGCCAGAAAAGAAAGTTGTTAAATAAAAAATTCGAGCAGCTTTTTCATTGTTAAATTCTACTCCGAGATTCTACTCTCCACTGGCGTTTCGGTCTCTCAACTCAATCCGAAAAACTTTGAAACAAAAGAATTTTTTGGGAAAGAAAAAAAGAGAAAATTGATGTGATGGAAGTTTGGCTAATGCGTTTTCGAAAATTCACTTAATTTCAACAAAAACTATCCAAATCCGATCGCTATTTTGCACTCAAATAGCTTAATTTTGGTCAAATTCGTCATATTCGATGAGGGACTCATAAAGCTCAGTAAATGAAATCAAAATTGCTTTAATCGAATGAAAAATGGTGAACGGATTACGGTAGTTCGTCTGAAATCGGCGTCTTTTCCAAAAGCGGATTAGCAAATCAGAGTCGTCAGAATTCAGTGTCGTTTTTTTTTCTTCACAACTGTCTCTTAATGAGTGTCTTTTCCTCCAAAAACTCACCCCTGATCACGTGTAGCTCGTAGGCGTCCGGGGTGACGACAAAATCTCCCAATTTCCCGCGTTTAATCGCTTCGTCGATGGTTTTTCGAATCCGCGCATCAACCGTATCCGAGAAGATATCAATGGAAACGAGAGTGCCCACAGACTTGTGATATCTACACGTTTTATGTGTGATAAAAGTTGAAGTAGGATTAATTATCGACATTAGATTATCCCCTGTACTAATTGCTTTATCCAATTCAAGTTGAAACTCAAGTTTTTTTTCGTGTACTTTTTGCAACAAAAGTCATAAACACCCAGTTTCTGGCGCACTTAATTCTTCGATTTTCCTGATCATTTTATGGAGATGCTTATATAGCAATTCGTAACCTTGCTGGAACAGTTATTAAGTTGAAGCTGGACTTTCAGACTGTAGTTGTTCATTGTTAAGCTAAAGAGCCAAGTTTGATCACCCCTTTACTTTTTGTTAGAGAGTACGTTAAAGTAAACGATGGGGAAAAGTGAAAAGAAACAGTTAGGCGCTAATCACCTCTCTTTTTTCATCTTTTCGGATCTCAAGAAGCTCGAGAGGCAAAGAGAGTGGCCAAGCGAGGGGGGGAAGGGGCTGGTGCAGGCCTGGCTGGGGGTACTCCCGCCTGTAGTGCCTTTCGAACTCCACTAGCGACGATGCAGCCCCTCTAGAGGAGCTAACACGATTGTCAACGGGAAAGGGGGCATTTTCAAGGCAAAAGGGGGGTAAAAGTCATGTATTTGCGCAAAGAAACGGCCCCGCCGCGATCGCCTTTGAGATCGGGCAAAAGGGGAATTTTGAGGGAAAGGAACAGGGACAACACACCCGGCTTTTTTGAGAAGGGAAGCTATGAGGGTTGGCAACAATTGAAGAGCGAAATCTGATGACTGTTCACAGGAACCCCGGGGCGATTGATCGATGTTTTGGGCGGTGTTTCTAAACACTGGCGCCCTAGATTAAGCCAGTTTTCGCGTTTATGCAAGAAAAACGAAGAATTGAGTGCACCAGAAAGGGTGCGTTTGTATAATTCAATTAAATCACAACTGACATTACCAATCGCTGTCTAGGATTGAATTTTAAATTTGAATCATCAAAATTGAATTGAAAGTCGTGTAAATTGAAGCTAAAGGATTAACTTTATAAAAGAAATAAATTCAGGCCCCAGGAGCTGGATAAAAGAGAGTAGTTGAAACGATTAAGTATCTCAATACTCGATTCGCCTTGTCTAAAGTGGAATCTCGTTGACGCACTCAATCCATAAGCTAACTTAGCCTCAAAGTTATCTAAATCCAAAAAAGAAACCTTAATTATTTGACTCAAAACTGATAAAACAATATCTCAAAACTTGGAAATCTTGAGCTTGGCGCTGGCGCTTACAAACTCTTCTTCTTATCAGATAAAAAAATTGTTTGATCACCTGTACGGCTCTAAACTAGTAATACGTGAATCCAGAAAAATCTAGTCTCAGCCTAAAAACCCTGGCTAGATTTAGGACTGATATAAATCTAGTATGGGGAAAAGTCAAGATCTTTACAGTAACGTTTCTATCCAAGGCTCTAACCCATCCACAACTATCTGAATGAATTATATCCGGCTACAAATATAACTTGAATATTATCTAGAGTCTAGACACGGCTCTCCCCAAAAAACCTATCACTCGTCAATCAGTAATCTATTGATTATCTTATTCCCAAGCTATATCTAGAATTCAAGAATTTGGATATCCAAGATATCTTAAAATCTGTATTCATTAAAACCAAAATCATTTCACTATACTATAGAAAACTTGAGCTAGATCTAACTATAAAATACAAATCGTTTTCTCTGACCTGTACTTGAGCACACTGGCCCGATGATCACCAGGCACATGTCTCAACAAATGATTCACCGAATCGGTAATTTCTTTTGAATATTTCAGAAAATCTTCCGTTCCCTCATGTCGCAATTGAGCAGAATACGGTAAATCCGGGAAATTGACGGTTGCCCGATAGAGCACCGTCAACGACAGCGCCGCGTACAGGGACAACATCGGCCCCAAGTTGATGGAAACGGGGGACCAAGGGCTGAGTTATCTATGTGAATGAATATAGATATAAAATAGAGATAATATTAGATATTAAATGGATCTAAGGGTCTCTCGGAGAATTCGGGTCGTCTGTGTGAAAGTGCAGAGATTGGGGGCGGTCTTCGGAAGGTCTTCAAGACTGAGAGAGCCGGAGAGAGAGCGAAGACCTCGGAAAAGCCAATGTTTGTCTGCAAAAGAAGAAAAGAAGTGAAAAAAAAAGGTGGAAAGATAAAAAGGCCCACAGTTCTTTTACTTCTATAGCTTTCTCAGGTTGGGGTCAAGCGCGGGCTTTTCCCCCTTTTTTCTAAGTTTCGGAACGGTCATCGTGCCTGAGAAAGTCAAGTAAAATTCGTTTTTTCACGTACTTTGTGCTTGAAATTTGTAAACGCAGGTTTCCTGGTGCAATGAATTAAACATTTAGAAGATAGATTTCAAAAGTTGCAGGAAAAAAATTGAGTTTCAATTTGATGTGAGTTAAACAAATGCATTGTCAGCTAATTCAGCTGGAATATGCCATAATGCCTTTAGACCAAAGTCCAGCTTATATCTACTGTCTAAGCTTTATTTAGACACTTTGTACTCAAATCTGTAAACTTTGTACACTTTGTACTCAAATCTGTAAACGCACACTTTCTGGTGCAATGAAACCTTCAATTCTTTTAGATAAAATGATTTCAGAATCCTTTCAAAAAAACAATGTTTCAATGTGGATGATGAATGGAGTAAAAATCGAGTTTTAATTCATGGGATTTTTTGTCATGAAAATGATTTAATTTAACAACTTTTCTTCTAAGCTTTTGAAATCTTTTTATTTCGTAGCATAGAATTTTTCGCTTATAAGCTTTCTTAATATTATCAGTTTATTGTTTTATTGCTTTATTTCAATTAAGTTTAGCAGCATTGTCTTAAACGTTTAAATTGCTTGAAAAAAAAAAAATCTGAATTATGACTTTTCTGAAGATCTTGAAGATCAGTTAAACCAGATCAGATCAGGCTTTTCTTGACTTAAAATTATCCGTTAACTCTAAATCAAAAAAACAATGTTGATCCTTTGAACAATTAGTTCAATTTTAAAGTTTCCAATGTTTCGTCATCGTCATTCAATTTTGTCACTTCGAAATGTCCGGTTTAAGTTGAAACAAGGACAAATGATTAGAGTGTTCTTCCCCTATCTAGTTCGTTTTTAAAAGTCACCTATTTCAGACAAAATTACCGTAATCCAGCCGCTATTTTGCATTCAAATCAGCTAAATTTTAGTCACATTGACTGAGCTTTGTAATTCCTTCATGTGACCAAAATTTGGTTGTTTGAATGAAAAATGGCGGCCAGGTTACGGTAGTTTTGTCTGAAATTGGGGTCTGTCTGAACTCCATTGATGATTGATCATTTCAAGTCTAGACCCCAGATCGTACAGTTCGTCTAAAGGGGGATCGTTTCTTGCTAGATCTCAGCCTTCTCATAGCCTTTTGCTTGACCAATTTCACACCATTCTCCCCGTCAAAAGAGAGTGGTGTGCTTGGTGTGTTGGTTGAAATTCGACGGTGTTGAAGGGTCCCCCTTTCCAAACGAACACACACGAAATTTGACCCACAAAGGGAAAGGGGAAGAGGGGAAGAGGGAGAAGTGAGACACTCATCATCTGCATATCACTCAAGCACCCATCCAATCCGTTGGAACTATAGCTGCAATTGGGCTTTGATCGAGAAAGTCCAGGAGATACCGTTTGATTAAAAATCGAAAATGTTATGCTGAAAATGTTGACAAATGTTTTTTTTGCACAGGAACAATTACTGGATTACTGTAGAGACAATTACTTTACTAATGTAGAGACGATTGCTGGATTACTGTAGAGATGTAGAGAGAAGAGAACACCTTGAGTTTACAGTCCAGATTTCGATCCAACACTACACTCACTCCACATTAGTCATTTTAAAACTTGATCTCGTTAACATACCCTTTCTGGTACACGAAATTCGTGCTGATTTCAAGATTTTTGTACTGGATTACTGTAGAGACGATTACTGGGCTACTGTAGAGGCTTTTACTGTATTACTGTTGAGACGATTACTGGATAACTGTAGAGATTTAGAGAGAAGGGAAAACCTTGAGTTTACAGTCCAGATTTCGATCCAATTCGATTTTCTATTGACAAAGATCCACTCAATAAGACAAGAATTGCAATTAAACAGTTATCTGAGACAATTAAACATCCCAGCCTTGATCAAATCAAAACTTGAAACTCAAGCTTTTTCCAATTTCTCTTTGCACACTTGATTTTATAGTTCATTGCATTAGAAAGGTGATGTTTATGAGATTTAAGCTAAAGTACTCAATAGAAGCCTTTCCCCAAGCCTGATATATCTAAATTTGAAACATTTTCATTTCCCTTTTCAAGATTTCCCCCGAAAAGTGTGCCGCTCATTATGCAACCGGGATTTAGCCCATAAATATACGGAAAAAGGATATGAAAAGAAAGAAAAAGACAAAAGAAATGATATTCAGTTAGAATGTGAAAAAGAAAAAGGAGAACGGCCTCCTTTTTCGGGAGAAATGATTGACCTTCATTAAGAGATCACTCGAAAACAGATCCGAATCGATTAACATCAAATGAGTATGTGTGCAATTCCACAAAGTGTTTCCTAAACCATGTCCCTTTCCCCCTACTGTAATCTCTATTTTTAACCAATCTATTCATAGAAATAGAGACAAGATTACGGTAGAGAAGAGAAAAGGGACACCGTTTAGAAAACGGATTTGATTAGGTTTAAAAAACGGAACAGATTAAGTGATAGAAAATATTTCAAGTTTCAAAGGTTTCAGATGGGTTTTGGTTCTTCAATGGGATCAGATTCAACGACACAGTTTTTTGGTGTGTAAAGATGTGATTGAATAACGCGTTTCTCTATTTTTTAACCTCAAGTTTTCCTCAAAATTTCGCTTTTTACAAACCAAGTTTCAACTCATTCAACTCCAAAACCGAATCTTCTTTACAAATCGTTTTTGGTTTTTTAACAATAAGCTTTAACCATAAGCTTTAACCATAAGCTTTAACCATAAGCTTTAACAATAAGCTTTAACCATAAGCTTTAACCATAAGCTTTAACAATAAGCTTTAACAATAAGCTTTAACAATAAGCTACTTGTGCAGAGAAAAAAAAAGAATAAAAGAATATTAAATGATTCGATTGAAAATTGAGAATGATTTTTAAAGAGATTTAAAAAGGTTTAAAGGAAAAAAGGCTTCAAAAGTTGACTCTAAAGCCGTTTATTTTGAGCAGTAAAATTTCCGTTTAAAAGAAACGATTTCTGCTTTGATTTTCATTTTGATTTTGATTTTATCGTAAAGAATAAATGGAAAAATGAGTTTGATTCATTTTATGATAATTTTGATATGTTAAGTGATTGATAAAATGCAAAATAAGCGGCAAAAATCGCTCAAAAATCGCTTTTGACCGATCATTTTTAAATGTAAATTGATTATTTGCAAATTCAAAGTGAACGGCCTAATATTCACAAATCTTTTTCAAAGTTTTCAAGATACAAAAAGTTTCAGTCAAATTAATTAAGCAGTTTCAGCAAATTTTCCACTGAAAATCATTGATTTCCAGCATAAAATGCGATCAAATCAGAAATTTAACCTTTTCAAACAACCAACCAACTTTAATCAACTCCAAATCGTGTTTACTTTGCCCAAAAAATGCTTTAGTTTCATGATTTTGAAGACTCAAAAGGTGGTGCTTGAACCAGTCTAGTCAAAGCCAAATCCAGCCAAATCAGCCCAGTCAAAGCCAAATCAGCCCAGTCAAAGCCAAATCAGCCCAGTCAAAGCCAAATCCAGCCAAATAAGCCCAGTCAAATCAAAAACTGAAAACCGTGTTTCAATGTTTTCGACTACAAATCGCGATTTCCTTTCCCAGTGCAGCTGTACCTCTCCGGCATTGCTTTTTCATTCTCGCATCCGTTTCAAAATTGTCCCCATTAACAGATCGTTCTCAGCATTACGAGTATTACTTTCAAATGTCAAGAGAATAATCAAACTAATCACTTTTGGCTTTTTTAGATATGTAAAAAAAAAATCGAATTTCAAGTTTAACTCAAAAAATTTTGAATATTTCAAAGAAACTTTGTTCTTTGTCAACTCCAAATCGAAATCTTCTTTACCAATATTATGCTGATAGCTTAAAATAATGAAAAAAATCAGTGTGAAAAAAATTAGATTAAAAATTGACTTTTCAAAAAGCAATGTTTCAATGTTTTTGCTTATAAAATCGGGGTTTTGCTTGGGAATGAAGGAATGAGATGAGTTTGAAAAAAAAAGGCGAATTTGAAAATTTGGCTTAGTGCATAAAATTAAGCAATTAAATGCATTAAAAACTTTACAAAAATCAAAATATTCCATAAATTTCAAAGAAATAAAGCCAAATTTAGCTAAATTCTGAGGAGAAAAGGGTTAAAAAACGGTTTTGTTTTGAGAAAATTGTTGTTGGAGACAAATTTTCTCATGACTACGATAGCTACAGTAGTTTCGTTTAAGAAAAGACGAAAAAAGACGAAAAAAAACAATGAAATGTCTCAATGAAAAGATATTCAGTGGAAAAATGACTCACACAATTGCTCGGCGGCCTCATTTTGTACGGGCAACTCATCGAGCTCACTCGTGGGAACCGTTCCCGAAGCCTCTTCGATGGGGAAAATTATCTGGAAAATGGTGGAAAGATTAATAGACAAATTATAGAATATATATAAATGGATTACAGTAAAATACAGTTTACAAACACATTTTACACACAAAGTAAAGGGATAATCAGATAATCAGCTTGTAATCTGCTCAGCTATTGTAAATTTTGAAAGCCATAACTTGGATAACTTGGACAGCCTAGTTTCAGCTAAAAATCCTAGTTTCTGTTGAAATGACTATTCAATAGCTGGCTTAAAGATTAGTATATTTAGCATTGAGTTTAATT